AATGCAGCCTGGTGTGCTACTGGATTGGGGTTCTTTTTGACATTTTCTAATTAAATGCGTCTCACTTGTGAAATACATATCCATTTTCACAAACTCAGAGATTCATAGATTGTAAGGTTGGAAGGGAGCTCAGAAGATCATTGGGTCCAGCCCCCTGCACCAGGCAGGAAAGACAACTGGGTTCAGGTGACCCTAGCAAGGTGACTGTCTAGTCTCCTCTTGAAGATTTTCAGGGTAGGTGATTGCACTGCCTTTGAAGGGAGCTTATTCCAGAGTCTGGACACCTTGACTGTGAAGAAGTTTTTTCCTAATGTTGAGCCTGAAATATATTGGTGTGAAAAAGACTTACCAGGAGAGCCAGGGAAGTGCCAGCACGCTGCGCCAGAAGCTGATCACAGCAAAAGCGAAACAGCGGCAGCCAGAGCCACCACGGGAGATGATCAAAGGAAAAAAAAACAGCTGAGCCGGGAGGAGTCAGGAATGGATCCCACATCCCCGGGGCTGACTGGTTGGCTGGATGCCCGGAGCCGAGATAAAAGACCTGGTGGAAGACTAGCCCGGGGGACCAGAAGCGGAGTCCCCAATCGGCTCGGAGGGGCCAGAGCTTTTGAACAGTCCCAGCAAGGGGACTTGGCGAGCACTCCAGAAAGGGGTCACAGTGACAGTACAGGGCCAGAGAAGGCCCAAAGATCTATTCACAGGGACCGAGGAAGTTGACAGCGATGACTGGATTACAGCCGGACCCAGTGGAGCCAGGACATAGACGCAACAGAGGCACAGCAGGTACCGAGCCTGGGGAAGAGTCGACACGCCAGGGGACAGAACGGTGCCAAGACCGGACACAGTGTAAGGAGAGAGAAGGGAGGGGCTGTAAGAGATGCTTGACATAGAAGTATCACATTAGACTGTGGCCGAAGATCCCAAGAGACCAAGTGCCGAGAAGGTTCAGAACATCAATCTCAACAACACAGGTGACAACATCAAGGTTGGTGTTAGGCAGGGTGTAGGGGAGGTGGAGCTCCACAATGAAGGAACAGCGAGAATGACCAAGAGATGTATGGTATATAAAGGATAAAATATGTGTTATGTATAAGACAAAAGTCCAGTGGTCACAGACTCCTGGAAAACCGTTTTAGACTGGACATAAGGAAAAACTTATTTACCATCCAAGTCCGGAAAGCCTGGAATAGACTCCCCTCAGAGATGGTGCAAGTACCTACTTCGGACACTTTCAAGAAAGATTTGGATGTTTATATTGCTGGGATCCTTTGACCCTACTTGACTTCCTGCCCTTGGCCAGAGGGCTGGACCTGATAATCTTGCAAGGTCCCTTCCAGCCCTAAAGTCTATGAAATCTAATACGTATACTTATTATCTATACCAGGCTTGTCCAAAATGCGGCCCCCCAAGCCATTTTCTGAGGCCCACAGTGTTGCGATGGGAAACGGAAGTAAACACTGTTTACTTTCATTCCCACCCCTTGTCCCTGCCCCAGCCCCTCAGCAGATTCCTAATGGCTGCTGAAGGGCTGGGGAAGGGACAAGGTTCCCAAATGCACTGCGTCAGCTTGACATTGCCAACACGCTGTGGCTTCTCCCCTCCCCCCTCATTTCACAGCGTCCCTCTCTCACCCCACCCCTCCCTTCCTCATTTGCATGTCAGCTCTTCCTCTCTCCCACACTGCATGGTTTCCATTCCTAGCCCCACCCCTCCCTCATTTGCATGATGGCCCCACCCTGCGCTGGTCCCCGCCGGCCATGTGGGCTGGAGCAGGCTGCGGTGCAGCGGGCAGGCAGGTGCAGGGGGCACGGATGCCGCTGCCGCTGCTTGGAGGAATACTGCTGCTGCTGTGGATGTCAGGGTGGGAAGCCGACACCACTCCTGCCTCCCTGCATCCCCCTGCACCTGCAGACATCGCACTGGGGGTGGTGAGTCACAGGCCCTGGGGAGGGAGGGACCCTTGCCACTTGGGCTCGGGCTGCCCCGGGGGAGAGGGAGCAGAGGGGTGTCCCTACACATCCCGCACCCCCCTGTAGAGTCCCCACATGTCCCACTGGCTGCTAAGCCCAGGCGCGCAGGTGCAGGAGCATCCTCGAAGCCACCCAGGTGGCAGGGAGGACACAGCAGGGTCAGGCGGCACCCCTTGACCCCTGCGCCCGCAAGCCATGGCCGGACTGGACAGGCCACGTGAGCGCCTGCTCCTGCCGGCCCACTGAGTGATAAAAACTTCATGATCTGGCCCCACATTCAAAAAGGTTGGACACCCCGATCTATACTATATATTACTGATCTTTTGTGCTTTGTGATTATTATAGTTGGGGCCAGTAGCACTGCCTCTTAAAATTGTCTATCATTTCTTACAGTAAGACCTGGTTTTCAATTGGTTTAACCATTTGGCCTGAAACTTTTCTATGATCCTTGCCTGCCTACAGCTGAATCTCTTAAGGCATTTGCAGATGTTAAAAAACAAACAAACAAACAAACAAACAAACTACTTCACTGTCAGGGCGGCTAGGATCTGGAACTAACTTCCAAGCGAAGTGGTGCTGGCTCCTACCCTGGGGGTCTTTAAGACAAGGCTAGATGAACACCCTGCTGGGGTCGTTTGACCTCAGCACTCTTTCCTGCCATGGCAGGGGGTCTGACTTGATGATCTGCTCAAGTCCCTTCCAACCCTACAAACTATGAAACAAACACCCCTTCCAGCCCGCCCCCTGCCGGAAAAACTGCGCTTTACTTCAAGTTCAGCACTTTCCCATGCCAACCTCTGTGCATGCCCAAAAGAGGCAGTGACTTAGTTGGACTCAGCTCGCCTGATGTCTGTAAAGATCAGGCGCTTTAGTAGGGCTTTTTTGGGTACTTTTATCTAACAGCTGATTGAATCAGGTTTAGCTAAAGTGCAAAAAAGCCCTGGTGAAGCACTTGATCTATACAGCTGCTGCAGACCTGGGTCAAAGTAACGCGCTGCTTCTTCCAGTAAAGTACTTTTTTTTTTTAATTTATTTTGGACAGGGGTGGTAAGGGAAGGGGAGAGGTTTAACATCTGCAAGCAGCCTTAGTGAATTTAAATCAAAATGGTTCAATTCAACTCTTTCTGAGAGAAAGGTTAGAGAAAAAATAGTCCACTTGTCCACATTACAAATTTTCAAAACATTTTCTTTTAATGTTTCATTCTACAACTTTTATAATGCTTTCTCCAAGATTTTTGTGTGTGTAATATACATGTATTAAGTGTTTTTCACCAAGCACATACTTGCAAACAATATACCCTTTGTCCACAGAGTAACATTTTTGATCAACGTGAAAATGTCTAGTGATTCATGTGCGCATCTAATTTTTGATAAACATACTTCCATTTGAAAAAAAAAACCAAACAAACAACTTAAAGGAAAATACAAAGAAAGTATTCAAGACCCTCACTGCACAATTAACAGTATATTACTAACAGTAGGAACAGTAACAGCAATGGAACATTGTACGGAGAGTAGTTTGAAGAGAACAAGTTGTAATTAGCTATTACTAATCTTTTATTCTCTAACTAATGTCCAGGAAACCAGCCTAGCTCTGAAAGAGTATACTGTAAATAGATTTCATTATTTCTCCCTAATCAAATTTCTATTCTTACTAATTGAAAAATAAAATTCCAAAGAAAATATGACTTGTAACAAATCGATATCAATTACTGCCATTTCACAAAGTTTGGTAGCTTTAGTTCTAAATTCCAATCTCTCCACATTCAACTGCAGGTCTCAATCACTCAGAATGTTTTTGCCAATATAATATTCTGCTGGCAACATTGGAGCACTGCCAAAGAACAGAAAAATTACACTGGAGTCAATGTCACTTCAATAAATCATTATGACTCTATGACAATAACAGATTTGAGGAGGAAAAAGTAATGCAGAATTACTGCTGGAATCTGGTGCAGAAATCCTGAAAGCTCAAGCCTATTAATGAGTCATGTTTCTATAGCATGCCAGCCAAGCAAGACTTCAGACATCAGGGCTTTGGAAAGTCCTGCAACATTGTAGGGAAAAAAAATCCAAAGACTCATTACTAGTCTCACTGTAGTATTGTTTTCCTGAAATACAATATGGATGCTTATTGCTGTCCTTGAGGGTGGAGGGTGTCCTTGAGGGTGGAGAACCCTGCTGAAAAGAAAGCATGTGCTGCTTTTGAATGAGGGATGAAGAAAAGAATTTGCTCTGCCCCTGTGCCTTAATGTAAAGGAGCTTTGTGGGCAAAATGAGGCTCATTACTCAGAGCCAATGTGTTCTGGAGGTGGAAGTAGAAGACACATAGCCACATATTGCATCTGCCACTATTCTGAGGATTGGTAGGGAGAGTTCTTTCTCTCTGTGTTCTGAAACCTGTGCACAAGGGTGAAGATAGGGGGCCCATTTGTATAGCTAACTTTATGCAGTAAAAGCTTTGTTATCTGGCAACCATGGAGAACGGGGGGTGCCGGGTAACAAAATATGCCTGTTAACCAAGCGGCCCGAATAGGCGTCTTTGCCTGTTCAGGCCACTGCCACCCCTCCCACCAGCCCCACGGGACTCAAGGAATGGGGGGGGGCCACACAAGCTTCTATAATCCAGGGCCGTGGGGGCTCGGCAGCGCTGACTGCTTTTCCCTGGGCCGTGGGGACTCAGTGAAATCAGAAGTGCCACTGTTGGCACTTCTGGTTTCGCTTTTCCCTTACAAGCCAACCCACTGCCAGTTAATAGAGCATGCCGACTTGTAAGGTGCCAGATAGCACAGCTTTTACTGTATATATTTAAAAGACTCCCACAAAAATACTGAATCCAATGCACCACAAATGATTCCAGCTTCATTCCATCTCTTAAATAATACTAATATGTACATGTCTCTGATCATTGTCAACATGATGCATGTTTAAGTTACAATAAAAAGTGCAGTAAATGGGACATGGATGCTTTTCTGAAATACAAAAACAGTGCACAAAAGGCTAAATGATAGGAACAATATGAGCACTTACCTTGCCCAGATCGACTCTGGCGGGAATCTACACTTGCTTGTCTCCGGTCTGGTGGCTCCTCGTTCCCTCCATCTGAATGAGAACCAAAACAGCAGAAGTACATCAGCACAATGGATAGATCAGGTAGATGTAAGTTTTTTTATTGACCATCATTTATCTTCCGGGAACAGCAGGAAAACAGGTGGATCTTGTATTTGATATAATAAAAAAAAAAAAAAAAAGTGTGTGTGGAGGGGAGATGGAGGGAACAAAACTGCTGACTGAGACCTCTGCTGTTTCTTTTCATTTCTGTACTACCTCCAACAACTTGAATTCAGAAGATCTTCACAGGTGCATAAACTAAAAAAAAAAGAGATGTACTTCTAAATTTTCCCTGCTGACCCCACAAGACTTCCATATGAAATCACAACTGCACTTGTGCTTTTTCCATGAGGCAATTAGTTCCCTTGTTTTGAACAGTTCTGTCAAAATATAAAAACCCTGAACATATTTGAAATAGGTCTATACTTGCCAGAACAGCATGTAAAATACTGTTTCCTTTGAAAACAATTCTTTAAATAATCAGCAAAAAAAAAGACATTTAAAAAAATCTACTCACGAAAGAGTTTAGAAAATCTGCAGCAGTAAACAGAAACACCTAGATCTTGCTGGACAGATGCTGGGACAGACATCATAAAAATATTATACAACTAATTATATGCCACCACTGATCAGCTGACCAGATTAGAAACAAAAACAGGCAAAATGCATCAAACCAGGATACGAACATCAATAGAAATATTTGACAACATATGGAATATACATGTCGTAGTGGAAGTAAGGAACTAAAAATATACTATCGCCTCAAAATTTCCTTTAATCAAACTGTGCACAATGTTAAAAAGAAAACATATATAAATGCATGAAATATAGGATCAAGTACCCAGGTTGTAGCCGTATTGGTCTAGAGAAAAAGGCATTCAGGACTCGTAGTAGAGATGATGTCTTTTATTAGACCCACAAGATTTTTGCCAAAAAAAAATCTTTCTGCTTTTTTTTTTATTAATGAAATTTTTTTTTTTAAAATGAAATCTTCATATTTTCCCAAGCAGGAAGCAACTGTGCCCACTTGAAACCTGGGATCCTGCTCCTGCCTTTGTTTCAAGGTAATCTGCATCATCACAGATCCTCATAGGAGTCAAGAAGCTTCATACCAGCTATGAACTGACTGCCCAGAGGAGTTTTCCATCTGTTGACTCCTCTGTGAAATCCTATGAAATATGAACTTTCATTTCTACCCAAGATAACTTTTACTATCTTTTCTCCAATGCCTGAGGAAGGGTGTTTGTGCCCGAAAGCTTGCAATTAAAGACTTCTTTGCAACCAAATCTTGTTGGTCTAATAAAAGATATCGTCTCTACTATGAGTCCTGATTGCCAAAATATAGGATGTAATCCAGAAGCCCTTATGTGAATTTGGGTTCATGTAAACTTGTGTTCCCTCTATATATCTTTAGACAGTCTAAAAAGGTACACATCTATCCTGCCTTCTGATGGACTTCAGACTATCATGGCTAACTCTCTCTCATCTAGAAGCCATTAGTCATTACTCAGGTAAACCTTCTATTGCCTTTCAGGAGAGATAATTATATATATATTTAATGAGAGTTTTACCTAAGAATTTTAAGATAGAATCAGTAACTTCTTGTATATAAACAAGATAAAACTTTGGTTGCAGTAAGAGTACAAAATTACATTAAAATATTTAAAAGGTTTTACTCATAAAGTAATTGCACTTTTTCAACTTGCACTATATGTAAAAAAATAGTTTCTTCCATTTACTAGTTCCTATTTGAGAGAGCTCTTACACTTCAATAAGAGCATACCAATAGAATATGGTAAAATCTCAAAACAAACAAACAAAAACCAACCGTCTCTCTGGTAGGAACTGCAATACATGTCAACAATGGGCATCATGCTTTTTACTCACAAAATTGCCCGTGTCCTCGGTTGCGTACAAGAAATGTATAGTGTGCTTGTACGGGCAGCTAGATGTTATGGGGGTGGGAAAATAGGATTTTTAAATCACCTTTGTACTGTTCCTTGATCCTAAGGCAGGTTTGCACAGGTTTTCCCACAGCACATCAGAACAGCCTGACAGTTTCTATAACATATCTACTGTTTCTGGCTTGAGGTGCTGTTATAGCAGCTAGGTATCACAAGGGCATAAAGGAACCCCAGCTATAGCACTTTTTCTGTCATGTTTCTTTTCTTAGGACCCAATAAGGCTGTACCCAACACATATGAGGATCCACCAGGCCCCAGAGTTATCCTACTGCTAAGTTCAGGCCTTCTTCATACTTCTGGTATGGCACAAATTGACTAATACAAATGAGGACGGGGGCTAATATCTACATTTTTACTAGTAATATAAAATTATGTTGGAAAATAGGTTCACTTCCTTTTTGCAAAGTGTTTTGCCTGCAGACCTGATGATGATCGACCCCTCAAGCCCAGACTGACCCCCCCTAAGTTAGGAAGTTTCAAATAAGCACTTGAGTCAATCAAAGAAAAAACAAAATTCAAGTTGATAATTAGCTGAATTAAACATCTATGAAGACAAAGTGCCGTAAGGAAATGTCACAGTACTTGGGGAGAAAAAAAATGAAGAAACTTCCTAATCCGTAAGAAAAGGGCAAATGCATCATCACTGCAATATCAAAAGCTACTATCACTTAACTTTTATAGGCTATTCTACCATGTAGCACTGAAATAAATCTTCAAAATTTAATTAGGATTTAAAAAAAACAGAATAAAAGGAATGGGGGATTATTTGGTACCATGAAATTGCTTTTTAAGGGGTAAAGTTATTCTTAGGTTCAGATAATACCTTTTCAGACACTGCTTTTCAACAACATTCAAGTAACTGTGTAAGTAGATTGATGTTATTTCAGTTAAATGCTTTTGAACAGCAATGAAAGCATATGACCAGTTATATTTTCCTTCTTTAAATTGCCTTTCACACTGATTTATCTTAAAAGAACTGAGTACTCCCTAATATACTAGTCTATGATTGAAATATAGTTTAAAAGATACTGAACCTGCAATTAAGGAACTTCCATGTTGAAGGGTTAAGTTATGCTTAAAGCTTCTGCCTGTTCTGGAGGGCTATAAGGTACGTGGAGCATGTGTAGTAGTGGATAATGATACAGTATGCACCACCTTTTTCCAAGTGGTCAGTTCTGTTGGCTGGTGGGCAAGGGAGGCAGAAGACAAGTAAATTATGAACCATGTTCGTCTGAACTTTTCCTTTTTGCATTCTTGAGCAGAACCAGCTACAGTTAACAAAGGTCCTTATAAACCTATGCAACAAGAATTTATTTATTAAATGTATATCCTACCCTATCCAAAAGGTTCAGAGCTGCTTACAATCAACAGACCAACAACCTACAGATACAATTCCCCAAACAACACCCCAAAACTTGGGAACTCTTGGGAAGAAGAAATACTTAAACTAGTGGACAAATACCAATACACACACACACGCTACAGGTGAGACTACACATTACAACTAGCATGTACTAACTCTAAGGAATATTAAGCTGCGTTAAGTTAGCATGTGCTATGAGCATTCACAAATTAAGGGTTAAGGTAATACCTTCTCTAACCTGCAGTGCTCAGACCTGCCACCAGGTCTAAGTACAGACAGTCAAGGCTGAATTGATTCAATCTTTGCAGGTTAACCTAAGCTGCAAAGATTGAACCAATGAGCAAGTGAACAGACATTCATTTGTGATTCTGGAAATGCAGCCACATGCCTGTAGTAGCCCAGGCCATAAGATGGGGAAGGAGCAGACAGTTTGGGCCACGACTAGGTTGCCCACCCTGAGTGGAGGTTTGGGGTGAGATGCAAAGCATCTTGGGATACTGGGGGACTGTGAGTTAACTTGAATCTAGAGGGAATCTAGGATAGAAGTTTAATAAACTGATTTAACCTAAATCAGTTAAGTCTGCTATTGCATCCATCCAGGTTTATCTTAAATTGGTTTTGGCCATTTTGAAAGCAATTTATGTGTACTGAACTTCTCCTGTGTTACAGATTTGAATTTTCTGATCACTTATACTGGTTTATGTGTAATTTCTGCCCCTAGCCTAGAGGACCGGCAAGAAGGAATATAAGTGGGAGCTGCCAAGTCCGCTTCATGCTTGCCCTGCTCACTGGCTCCCTAGACACAGTACAGTTAGGGATCTATCTAAATTGTGCCAGAAATGCACTGCACAGTAGCTTGTTTAAATCTTGCTCTTTTCCGCCACTGATTGGCAGAGGGGCTCTGGCAGCTCCACAACTCAGTTCTGATCAGCCAGGAGGCAAAAACCACTATTTTACATATATTGTAGTTTTTGCTTCCTGCTGCCGACTGGTAGAAGGACCCCGGTGGCCCTACTGCTTGCTACTGATCAGCTGGGAGGCAAAACCATGGTCAATCAGGACCAAGCAGTAAGGGTGCCAGAGTCCCTCAGAATCAGTGGAGGGGATGGTTGTGGGGGGGAGGTACATGTCAAAAAGAGCAAAATTAAGCAGCTGCTGCTCACTGCACTTCTGACATGATTAAAGGTAGATCCCTAAATGTAGTCCAGTGGGGGAAGGGGAGGGGAAGAGCCGCCCCCCCCCGCACAGCTTGGATTATTGCCCCTACCCCAACAAATAGTCCCCTTCACTGGCCCCCACATTGACCCCTGGCCCGTGATCAAACCTACCCCTGGATCACCCCTCTGTTGCCCTGATCATCCCTTGTCCCCTGAATTAGCTATGATTCCTCCCCCTCTTACCTCTCATCAGCCCCATAACCCCTGGACTGCCACCCCAATCAGCCCAACAGCAGCAGTGGCAGTAGTGGTGGTGATGGTGGGGGGGGTTCCCCATCCCTACCTGTGCTGCCCCCACATGCCAAGATGCAGGCCCCAGTACACTCCGTCCCTACCCAGAAACTTTCTGTGGGTAAAAGGGGGAAGAGAGGGAGTGGGCAGAAGGGAAAGGGGTACAGGAGCTGGTCAACATCTGTAGGGCCTTGTGGGAAAGCTACAGGTCATATC